CAAACTCTCAATGAGAGTGAGTTTGAGCACCAAGGTGGAGAAGATCAACATGATGAGGATGTCTCTGCAGAGCTAGAAATTTCAGAGTCCAGTGCACGAGCTCAACAGTCTATTGCTTCCGGTAGACAGAAGAGGGCGACTGCAGGAGTACCTCCACAGAGGTATGGCTTCGAGGACATGGTGGCGTATTCATTTCAGGTTGCTGAGGAAGTGGATGCAGGTGAGCCACAATCCTATAGAGAAGCAGTTTCGGGTGGTGAAGCTGATCAGTGGCTTGCCGCAATGAGAGATGAGATGGAATCCCATGACAGGAATCAGACTTGGGAGCTAGTCAAACGACCACAGGGAAGGAAGATTGTTACAAACAAGTGGATCTACAAGAAGAAGGAAGGAATCGCTTCCAAAGAGGGCATGAAATTTAAAGCTCGGGTGGTTGCACGAGGCTTCTCGCAGAGGGAAGGAGTTGACTACAATGAGATTTTCTCACCAGTGGTCAGACATACTTCGATCAGAGTGCTACTAGCAATAGTGGCACATTATGACTTGGAGCTCGAGCAGCTAGACGTGAAGACAGCTTTCCTACATGGAGAGTTGGAGGAAGAAATTTACATGACTCAGCCAGAAGGATTCGAGGTTCCGGGAAAAGAAGACTATGTTTGTAAGCTGAAGAAGTCCTTGTATGGACTTAAGCAATCTCCGAGGCAGTGGTACAAGAGATTTGACAGTTACATGCTTGAGCTGGGCTACAACAGAAGTCCATATGATTGTTGTGCATATCACAGCAAGGCAGAGGATGGTTCGATGATATATCTAGTTCTGTATGTGGATGATATGCTCATAGCTGCGAGGTCAAAGTCTGATATCCAGAAGTTAAAGGGGCTTCTCAGTGCTGAGTTTGAGATGAAGGATTTGGGAGCTGCTCAAAAGATCTTGGGTATGGAGATTTACATGGACAGGTCAAAGAAGAAGCTTTTCTTGTCACAGAAGAGCTACATCCAGAAGATACTGTTGAGGTTTGGCATGTCTTCAGCAAAGCCCTTAAATACTCCTAGTGCTTCAAATGTTCATCTATCCTCAGCTTATGCACCGCAATCAGAGGCTGAGAAGGAGTACATGTCGAGAGTCCCATATGCTAGTGCAGTAGGTAGCTTGATGTACGCTATGGTATGCACTAGACCTGATCTTGCACATGCTGTTAGTGTTGTCAGCAGGTTTATGATACAACTTGGGAAGGAGCATTGGTAGGCTGTGAAGAGGATCTTCCGATACCTTAAGGGTACACCTGATGTGGGGATTAGCTTCGGAAGTGATACAGAGTGCTTGGTGTCTGGGTATTCTGACTCGGACTATGCTGGAGATGTTGACACGAGGAGATCGATGACCGGTTATGTATTCACTCTTGGGAGTTCTGTAGTGAGCTGGAAGGCAACTTTGCAGTCGGCGGTGACATTGTCTACTACTGAGGCAGAGTATATGGCGTTGACAGAAGCTGCTAAGGAGGGAATATGGTTGAAGGGACTGGTTGGTGATCTGGGTCTACATCATGATCAGGCAGTGGTGCATTGCGACAGTTTGAGTGCAATATGCTTGGCTAAGGATCAAGTCCACCATGAGAGGACTAAGCACATCGATGTGAGGTATCATTTCTTGAGGACAGAGAAGAGGATTAAGGTGAAGAAGGTTGGCACCGCGGATAATCCTGCTGATATGTTCACGAAGCCGGTTCCACATGGCAAGTTCCAACACTGCTTGGACTTGCTGAATGTCTTGAGTGGGTGACTCCGCCTTACGGGGCATTGATGGCTGGAGAGAGAGAAGGAGCAGAGTACATCAGAGATTTCAGAGGAAGAGGATTCAAGTCAAGGTGGAGATTTGTTGATGTGACTTGAATCGGACTATCAGCCGCTACGACTGGTAACCGTTTCCTTTGGCATATTGGATTAGGTTTAGACCCACATGGAGAAGTACTATAAATACTTCTCATACTCCTCTGTAATCTGTAATCTCCTTGATATAGTGAAATCGGCTCTCTCTCGCCCGTGGACGTAGCTAACACACATCGTGTTAGTGAACCACGTAAATTGTGTGTCGTGTTTTCGATTCTCGCTTTCGTATTCTTGCTTTGTCGATTCCGGCGATTTCCCGATCCGTAGCAGCGCGTTTATAACATCGGGTTTTAGGGTAGGAAGGGTATTTGTAATTGGGACTAGTGCAAGAGCAAGAGGGGATTCTTGCTTGGGAGTTGCACTAGGTGGATTACTCTCCAATCAAGTCAAACTAAGAGTGTTGGCTTGATTGATTGAGTGGGTAACTTAGCTTGGATCTAGCTAAGGGTTGAATAGGTGTGGAGTTGCACCTATTTGGTTCTTGACACGAAGTGTCAAGGTTGTTTCAATTTCATAGGTTAGAGAGTCTTTTATTTTAATAAAAGTTAGAGTCTCTCGTGAGATAGTGGTAACTATCTCTGGGACGTGGATGTAAAGCCATATTGGCCGAACCACGTTAAAATCGTGTGTCTCGACTCATCTCTCTCTATACTTTCTCTAACTTTGTTCTATTCATCAGTGCCTACAAATTAATCACTTCAGGAGAGATTATTGGCAAGTCCTTTGGATTGCTCAATCAAGCTAGTGCTAATCTCTCACTATTGAAATCTGAATTAATTTGTGCATTGACTACGTCAAAAGTATTCATTATTGACCTCGCTTGGTCTAACACCCATGTACACCCCTAGTTGGAGCATGAAAAGAGCCATATTTGGCTTTTTAGCTCCTTGGGTTGGAGCTAGCGTAAGGGGTTGGAAAAATGACTACCCCTACTTATTAAACCTATTTTGGGTATTATATATTTTATGCATTCATTACTCTTTAGCAATAAAAAATCCATACTAATTACATTCTTTTTTTCTCAAAATTAAACCACATTAATTACATTTCTCTTTCACTAGTTCTTACTATTTCCTTTTCCAACAACTTGGTTGCCTTCTCCCAGTAGACGCCTTCTGGTTATACTCCCGCCGACAGATTCGTTCTGACCAGATTTTCTATGGTAGACTCCTTGTGACCACCTAAAAAGAAGTATCACTGCATTAAAAAGTACCATTGCACTGATATAACTACCATTGCACTGATAACGTTACAAGTACACCGATACAACTAACTTTGCAGTGATACAACTACAAGTGCACTGATAACGTTACCACTGAAATTAAACGTGTCAGCCGTAGGCGGGGAGAGGAGTGATGGTAGGAGGAGTTGCAGACACGCGACATAAGGAGTTGCTGGACGGCAACTGAGGTTCGTGGTGGAGTGCTGCGGCGGGGAGAGAGAGAGAGGAGAGAGAAATGTAATTAATGTAGGTATAATTTAAAAAAAATAATGTAATTAATACGAGTTTTCAATTACAAAAAATTATTAAATGCAACACAAATTTAAATCCTTAAATACCTATAATTAATAGGGATGTCATTTTTTCAACCCTTAGAGGGTATTGATGCTATCTATCCCCTATTACTATATATGTAGAGGTTATTTGATTAACACAATTTTGCTTGGGAATTTTGCAAAACTTGTTAAGAACTGTCAAGAACCAGTTGATCCCAATAACTCGAGTTGTTGGGAGAAGTTCAATCGTGGATCATATACCACAACACTAACACGCCCCCTCAAACGAAAGCCACTCACAAGGGCTTGAACTTTGCACAGGTATGAAGACAAGAATATCATGTGCTTAACAAATGGGGGTCACCGGGAATCGAACACAAGACCTTTCGGTCACAGAAGACTCTGATACCATGTCAAGAACCAGTTGATCTCAACACTAACAAGAACTACAACTTTTATTAGAGGGTAAATTTTTTAGAATGTATGGTGAAAAACTTACCTTAAAGTATTCTCAAAACCCCTAATAAAAAATATGTCCTCTTCCGATAGGTTAAGACTTCAAACTAACTTTGGGCTTGGTTATTTGACTGATGCAAAAAGTCTATCCAGATCTATGCAGTGATAAATTTCAAAGGCTATTTTGTCTTATTTCTCTTCAAATAAGGTCGTTTATGGAACCGAATTGGTAAAAAAATATATTTCATTAAATTTTGGACAGTTATAATTTTTTCATCCGAACAGAGCCAACATTTTTCGATTTTGCATAACTTTTCAATTACCACATCTTTATGAGGGTAATATTTAAAAAAATGAATATTTTAAAATTTTAGTAGTTTTGAGTATGCTTTTAGGGTTGTTTTTCAGTTCCAACATACATTATGAAATTACCCACTAATAAAAATTGTGCCAATAAGATCATCAAATGCAAAATTACGGTCGTTCGTAGTTCCAACATATATTAGTAACATTTCGCTTCGAACATAAACGATGTACCAGCAGATATCTCCGGTTTTTTGTGATTTACTTAGGCCGTTGCGGTCTTCAACAATCTGCTTTCTAATTGGCAAACACAGCAATGATCTAGCAAAAACTTGTTATATATATTGAAAAGTTTAATTGTAAATATTGTATAGTTAGAATGACTATGCAATTATCTCATTGATTAACAACTTTGATATTTGGTTTGGGGGTGTGGAGGAATCATAACTGACTATGGGATAATTTTTTTTTTTTTTTATCGAATGACTTGCAAGATAATTGATACAAATTTCACATCAAAACAATCTGCAATTACTGGTACTCGTGATAGATCATTCATATTGTTTTCTTCTTTGTCATTCAGAGTGCATCAAGATGTCCTGTGTCAAATCAACGGAAGAAAACGGTCCCTAATGTAGGGTGAAAAATAGGAGTTCAAAACTTACCCACGCCATTACCGTCCGTCCAGTCCTACATACCATTCATTCATCATCAGTTTGTTTTCTTTTCTGTGAGACGGGCCATGTGACAGGTCAGGTGACAAGTGACACAAGTTTGTTTTCTAGAAGGGAGCAAGTTGCTCCATAAGAGACACCATCGAGTACGAATGTATGGAGCTCAAGGACCACCCTCCACTCCATACTTTATCCTAACTTATACGGCCACAATCCGTCTCAACGACAAAGCAAGTTTTCACGTTTCATTCAGACTCGAATAATAACATTTTTAGCACAAGGTAAGAAGTCTTCAACCTCCCATACACGAGCTCCCAAAGAGAAATGCATTAAGAGTTGTGAAATGAGAAAAGAAAAAAACCAAGGTTAAAATACATCTGAAAGGATACATTACAATATGGGTTGACAAAGACACAAGCTTCGCAATCAATGGGGACAATGCGCGGGGGCAAGGATGAAGAATGCACAGCTAGTGTTGAGACTCTCCTCCCTCCGTCAGAGCAAGCTGTTGCTGCAGTGGAGGCTGTTCCAGCTGACCGCTTCACTAGTCTTGTTGTAGTTGTTCTTCTCTGCTGCCGGGCTGCTTCCCATGCTGCTGTTCGAACGCGAGACAAACGTAGTCCTCTGCAGAACTCCGGTAGGGGATGAAGCAAGGCTGTTGTCCCATCCTTCGGTCATCAAGTTCAACGTTGGTGACAGGGAACTATTGTTGCTGCATTGATCCCCTCCTCCTCCCCCTCCGTTGTTGCCCTTGTTATTGGTATTGTGCTGCAGAACCTCGCCCAGCGGACCTCCCATTGAGGCCTCCCAGGAGATGGGGATCCAATTCGCCGCCTGCCTTTGGCTCTCCCCATTTGCTACTCCAAGTCCCATCTGGACTGGTTCCTTCTCGTTGTTTGGGGAGGAAGTGGAGGACATGAAGTCAGTAGCATGGGAGGCAGGGATGGATATCGACAGCTGAGATCCATCCGGATGATGGGCTTTCGGCCAGTTGTCCATGAACTGATGGAGAGAGTGCTGCTGCTGGTCCTCAGATGATCCAAAGCTCCTACAGCTGATTAAGGAGGAAGGTGACTTCTGTGATGGGTTGAGTAGAGATTCGGAGCTAACCAATCCAAACTCTGTTTGCGAGGAAGATTCTGCATACGGATCGTGTCGTTGCTTTGAGATCACGAACGAGCTGTTCTCGTTTGATTTCAGGTCAGCATTTGATTTGTTTACAAACATCCTGCACAGCAGAGATCTCATTAGTCTAGGAGCATTAATCATAGAAAATGTTACCTATGAACTATAAACCCACCCGGAACCTATGCGGTTTAAGTGCAAATTTGGGTTCTACAATCACAATAACACCATCCTATAGTCCAATTCCATTTTGACATAACCACGAAGTTTAATAGAACATAGTTAATGCATGCAGTCAAAGTCGATCCCCTGAAGAAGGAAATCATCTCTAAGTATACTCCTATTCAATAAGTGAAGATTCGGTCCAAACCATGCATTTACAGATACTAACAGTTTAGATGAATAGAATAATGTTACCTGCCGAGGGGAGTAGAAGCCAGAAGATCATTATTGTGATGAGGGAGTACTGTGTTTGAAAAAGAACCACCATAGCTGCGGGAGGTAGCTGCCACCGAAGAAGCTGCAGTAGCAGCAATGGTGGTGGTGTTAGCAGCAGGAATGGCTTTGGCTGCAGCAGCAGCAACAGCATTGTTAGTGGTGGCAACTGAATGGCCAGAACGGACTTCCACAGGCTTTCTTGAACGATGGCGGCCTCTGTTGATATGTCGTTCACAATACTTCTGATCGGGCACAGCATCTCTCGAGCACCGCCATTTCTTCCCATCCGTCCTCCGGCAGCGTCCAGGCTCTGGATCGCCGCTGCTCGAGAATCCGGGATGGAATGGACCCCATCCAACTGCAACCCCCCAACATTCCCACAAATCAACACTATGTCACAACCAATCGCAAGCAGTTGAACAAAGAGACTAAACTGATACCGTTTCATCAATGATTGCAGTATGATTCTCCACGATTCACCATTAAAAGTTTCGACCAGTTACTTTCATCAGTTGGATCTTACGAATGGTTTCACAAACCCTAGAAATAACACAGCAACAACAACAACAGCAACTACCCTTTACTCAAATCATACTTGTTCTTACAATGAATTAACCCTGAATCTCAACTCCCAAGGATGCCCCCAACTCTGAACTTCAAACATTGAAGCTAAATGGGCATCACCAACCGGATCAAGAAGGAAAACCCACATTTGGAAGAGAAAAGCACAAAAAGAAAAAGAAAAAAAGAAAGGGTTTGGATTTATGCAAAGGTAAACTGAAAAATGCTAACTTTGTAGATCTTTCCAGTAAAGTCAGAAAATTTCTGCAAATGCAAAGAAGAAGAAGAAGAAGACGAAAGCAAGGGAAAGGGGGAACTTACAGGTATTGGGTCTAAGGAAGCCAGGTGAAACAAACGAAGAGAAGGCAGCAGATTGAAGAGCTTTTCTGATGGGGATGAGAAGACTGTGAGGGACAGGGACATTGGAAGTGAGGTATTTGTAGATCAACGCCTGGTGTTCAAGCTCCATCCATTGTGATGGAGTGAAGGAGCCTCCTCCCCCTCCTCCTCCCACATGCATCATCCTTCCACCATTCAAGTTGGGAGTTTGCTCCAGAAAGGGTTGTGGGTTGTGGCCTGCAGCTGGAGAAGGAGAATAGAGAGGTAAAAGACAAAAACTTGAGGAAATGATATTGGAGGAGAGTTTTTAAGGAACAAAAGAAATTGTAGGTTGGACTTTGTGGAGAGAAGCAAAAACGAAAAGCAGAAAATGGGGCGAGAAGTGAGAAGATATAGAAGCTGTTTGTCACGTTCGGCAGAAGAAAAGAAAAACAAAAAAACAAAATGTGGTGATTGTCTGGTGAGTGGTGATTAAGTTAAGTCCCAAACGGCTTTCCAATTCCATCAGAAGGAAAAACAGCCTTCCATCGAAACAAAAGAAGAAAGTCCCAAACGGCCCACTCATTTGTCTGTAACACACCAACGCTTATACTAACAGTTTAGTAAACGTACCATAGTTATTAGATTTGGTTAATTTTTATCCATGGATCCCCTCGATCTTTCCTAGTCCTTGGCATCTCAAGATCCAAGTTTCAAAGTATCATTGGCCCCCAACCACCATTTGGTGGCTTCAAAACTCCCATAATGGTTTCTCCATCAGCCCACAACTCGGTCTGTCCCTTCGAATGATTGTTATATATTTCTTGCGAAAGTGTAAGTATGTGTCCTAATTCGTTACCTATTTATCGAAATTGCGAGCAGTCAACCCACTTAATTTAATCTATGAATCCACCAATTTATTTGATCCATAAATCAATCAATCTATAAATCCAATTCACTTGCCACCTTTATTTGAGGGTAAAATTAATATATATAAAACTGAAGTTATGTTACTTTTGCCTTACATTTTATATTTTGATACCCAAATTTAACTAAATCATAACTTAGTCACTATAATGTAAATTTTACATTTTGATACCCCAAATTTAATTTTAATATAAAATTATTGAACAATTATGTTTTGGTATCTAAAATTTGAGATTTTCCTACCTATAATTTTTTAAATTTGCATGTTGGTCCTATGATTAGATTTCACTTGAATCCATGAATTCAATCCACCAATCCTTTTGAACCAATCCATGAATCCAATCCATCATAATATAAAAGTATAAATTAGGTTTGTACAATGTGTTGTATTACTCAATATCACTCAACTGTAGGAGAATATTCGATCATTTTATATTTGCTCATTACGTGAAATATTAAATAAATGATAAAAGAGATACGACTCTAAAATATTGTAAGAGCGAATTTATAAACTCAATTAGTACATTTATGGGGTACTAAACAAACTTCTACTAACTACTTGTAACAAAATATAAGACATCTACATAAGCAAGTGTCAATAAATTGCTACGGTGAAAAGGACTGACTGTTTTATTGGTCAAAACTTTTCTATCATCTACTTCCTTTTCGTTTTATTTTCCACTCGCCTTCCATAACCCTTTCTTTCTTTCTTTTTTTGCCCTCTTCGTCTAACCCTAATTAGTATACTATTTTTATGTATTCTAATCACAAGTATAAATACAACTCACCAACAGTTTAGAGAACTAATAATTGAACTATGAACCACTAACTTTTTCAGCTCAATGTCGAGCTCAATTAAAAATAAATATATATGGTATTACTTATTAGAAAGTATTCATTTTCCACTATGGAATTTGATATGTGTAGATACTAGATATCTAACTAAACATTTCATGTATATTTGTTGAAAATTCTAGCCTGGGAGAAAAAGAAAAACTCTAGAGAGAAGCAAAAGGAATACAAACTTCTAAACCCATATATAAGTCATCCATACCCTATCCATAATCAATGGTCTACTTGGGTTCAGGTAAATACTAGCCAAAATTTTCCAAAAAATTTAAATTGGATGTTGAGCGCCATATATCTCTTCTCATTCAATATTACTAACAAAACTTCTAACGAAAGATTAATTTTAAACTAATAATACTAATATAACACTATAACGAGCCACATAATACATGCCTATAGGCCATTTTTGCCCACGACAAGGCGCAACATCTCCACCTAGTCTAAAATGTTAACCCCTAGCTTAAACAAAGGATATTCACATCAATGTAAATAAAAAGTAGGCCTATAAAATGGAAAATGAAATAAAATAGAACTGAGGGGCATGCTAGTTTCGATCCAAGTTGTTTGGTTTGGTCTCAAGGAGTTGGTGGTCAAAGATACTATAAAGTTGTTGATTAAATGTTAATCATATTTGGTAGGGTTTAATCTAAGAGAGTGGGAATCTAAGATCCAAAGAGGAGGATGGTGGTAAGGTAAAGCTCTACTGGCCCTTCAATTTCATTAATTAATAATTGTTTGTGTGTATAGTTAATTAACAGGATGTGATGCGGTCCCTCAAATCTCATCCCACCCACCCTTATTTTAATTGTGTGCCCCTAATGTCACATGTTTTAGGTCAATAATGGCACTTTACTTTCTTCCCTACCTCATACCAATTAAACAAACAAATATCATTTGTAATTTTTTTATAAGACAAGGGTTGTCTACTTTTTGAGTTAAAAAATCAGTACTGTAAAAACTAATTCACGTCAAAATTAAAAGAAAATATTTTTTACCTCATGTTCTTTTAATTTTTAGAGAGTTGATAACAACTAATTAGTCGTATTTTTTACCTCATTTTTTAGGCATTTGAGTGTCACAATTATCACATTTTGATCATTAGAGGTTGAATCTATGCTAATTGTAGTTCTTTGGTGATGTTTTCGGACTTGGTATGATTTCGATCATTTCTAGTCCATTTGTCTCGTACAGCTCCTCTAATTGTTCATTTTTACGCTAGCTTGTGTTTTATACCCTAATTTCATGAACCTCCATACCCATTTTTAACCATGAAATTGGACCAATCCAACCCTGCCTTTATAAGGAAGTATGTCAAGGAACATTTGGGGTGAGTTTCAAGACATTCGAAGATCGTTTGGGGGCATGGAAAGGATACATGTTTTTTCCCCGTCTGATAACAGGTGATGAAGCCAAAATTACTCACTTTTTACCCATATTATTTAGGCATTTGTGTGCCAAAATCATCGTACTTAGGCCACATTATGATATAATTTAGGCTAATATGAGTCAACTTGTCATGAGTTATGAGATTTAGCATATGTTAGGTTGCTATGAGCTATTTCATAGGGAAGCCACCCTATTTTGTTATTTATGTTTGGGTTTAATTGCAAGTTTGGTCACTCGAATTGCTATAAAATTTCACGTTTGCCACTCAAATTAATTTATTCCATTTATAGTCACTCGAATTAGTTGAACAGTTCAAGTTTGGTCACTCTCCGTTAACCTCCGTTAACTTTGACTGACGTGGCGGTCAACTCTGACAGTTGACCGTTAAATGTGTGATGTGGCAAATAAAAAATAATTAAAAAATTAAAAATAATTTTTTAGAAATTACACGTCATTATCGCAAAAAAAAAATTATAATTGTAAAAAATGAAAAAAAAATATCACAAAAAGAAATTATCACAAAAAGAAATTACACATCATCGGCGGAGGAGAGGCGGGGAAGATTAAGGAGGAGATGGAGTCCACGAGTTTCAGGATACGAGGGCTGGAGAAGGAGATAGAGGGGATGAAGAAGCTGCTGATGAAATCGGAGGAGGACAAGACGGTTCTGGAGAAGCAATTGATGCTGGAGAGATGGGCGATGGGGGCAGGGGACGAGATCAGGAGCGCGGTGGTTAGGGATGGAGATTGTCGGTCGGCGAGCTTCCATTACGGCGGGAAGGAGAGGAATCGGGTGCGGAGAGGGGAGAGAGGGTCGAGCTCTTTTGCTGCGGGTTCTCGGGGCCGGATGGAGAGAGAAGGGAAGAAGAAGAAGAAGAAGGGCAGTGGGAAGGGAATGGGGATTATAGAGAAGCTGAAGAGCAAATTTCAGGGGTTTCAGTTGATTGGGTCGGAGTGCCAGCCGCAGGGAAGGTTTTCTGGCCGATCGAGCTACAATGTTATCATAAGGAATAATATTTTTGTCCTTTTTTTTTCCTTGTGATAAATTTTTTTTCATTTTTTACAATTTTAATTTTTTTTGTGATAATGACGTGTAATTTCTAAAAAATTATTTTTATTTTTTAATTATTTTTTATTTGCCACGTCACACATTTAACGGTCAACTGTCAGAGTTGACCGCCACGTCAGTCAAAATTAACGGAGGTTAACGGAGAGTGACCGAACTTGAACTGTTCAACTAATTCGAGTGACTATAAATGGAATAAATTAATTTGAGTGGCAAACGTGAAATTTTATAACAATTCGAGTGACCAAACTTGCAATTAAGCCTTTATGTTTGTGTAGTACTTTTAATGATGTTCCAGGTCTTATACTCGTCTTCAATTGGCTGGGGATCGATTTGGGGCAAAGAAAGCATATTTTTGACCATGTCACGACAACATTAAGGCCAACGCCATGTTAAGCCATAACCTAGATCACGACTTAACAGTTCATGGATGTGAACCTTTCTCCTCGACCATGAACGCAAGCAACAAGTAGCATTATGTTTCGCGGCCAGACTCGTGGCCAAAGGGCTGATCGTGAGATGAAGATCAAGGCCGCGAGTTGGAGATCACGATCAGGATGTTGGAGTTGGGAACCAAGGCAAGACGTGTTGAAAATCAATTATTCGATGGTGTTTTATACGTTAAGTGGACGGTTAAAGACACAGTTACGGTCGTGACCGTGCCTCTACAGGGCAGAAAGTGGTAACATATTTTTCGGACAAAAACTAAGGGGTCGTTTGGTTTTGGTGATAGTTTCATAATTTGGTTGGGATAGTTACAAACTTACAATGTATTATTTTTTTTGGGTAATGTATATTTTTTATCCAAACCTTTTTCAGATTATTTTATATTATCCAAACCTATAGGAAAAATGTTATTTTATATTATACAAACTTAGCAATTTTGTAAGTAATATCGACTTGGCAACATGATACTGATTTGGAAGAGACTCACGAAGGGCAACATTCCAAAATTTTAATATTTTAACTAAGAAAAGAGTTACAAAATTATTAACGATAACTTAAAAATGGCTAATATTTTGATGCATTATGAAAGATTTGGATAATTAATAGAAATTTAACAGGTTTGGATAATATAAAAGAATCTAAAAAAGGTTTGGATAAAAAATAAATATTACCCTATTTTTTTTAATTTTCTGCACAAACAATACAGACATTGTTTGATTGATGTGACATAAACTATTACTCAAAATGAGTGATAGTTAAATCTCAAAAATTTTGTGAGATTGTTGAGTCTTTTTTCTTTCAATTATGTCCTTACTTTTTTTTATGTGTGTTGCTTTCTTGTATAAAAACAAAGGGTAAAAGTGACATTTCACCAAAAAATTATATAACTTATTTAAATAGTACAATAACTATCAAATAAACCAAACGATGTAAATTACAATATACTAATTTTTTTTTATATACATGTATATTATTATGGATGTATTGATGACAATGCATCAATTTTATTATCACCAAAACCAAACCATGGGAAACTAAAAAGAAAAAACCCCATAAATAAATCTTGATGTAAACTTGGAGCTCAGCTGGTTGTACCCATAGTTTGAAGCATGTCTGGCAGGTAAGGGACCAAGCAAAACATTGCATTGACTCAAACAATGAAGGCCCCCATCCCATCCCCATTCCATCAAGTGCAGTACAAACAATTTATAACGAATAATTCAGAAGGAAAATATCTCAAGGAAACAAATTAACATATATATATATATATGTATGGCCTTTTCTCAGCCCTAGCTGTGGTAAGCTATCTATCGAATTCAAAGACTTAATAGGAATCACAGAAATCGATTACACATCCGGTACAATGTGGGCTGCCTTATCCAACCAAGCAGAATGGCAACAGAGCAGCAGCCAGTCATGTGTTGGATCATACAACAATTCACCCGATCGTGTTGTTATGTTGTGTATTTGGATGCCTAGCTTACGGTAGAATGTGCATACTGCCCTACTGCCAACCAGCGGATGTGATGTGAGCAGTAAGTGGGAGATGTGAAAAGGGTTATGTCATTTTGATGGACTCGTGTGGGGCGCATAAAGATCGATTGTAAAATCTTATTGAAAATTATATAAAAATTTTTAGTGATGGAGTGTTTTGTCTAAAATCGTGATTGAATTGTAATTCACCTATTCCATATTGTTAAAATAGCCTACTATTTGGAATTTGGTATCTGATATTTCTAGTTCAACCGACATGTACGATAGGATTTTTGAAACATTAACATGTGGAGTTGTGGGTACTAATCAAATCCGCATTTCTACTCTAATCGTACTTTTCCAAAATCAAGCATTATCCATTTCGTTTGGTTAATGTAGGGAATTGATCAATAGTTCGAGTTCGACTGTCATTCTTATCTACGGATAATCTGTATATGTATATGTAAATGAGGGTGATGGTATTTAAAAATGCCAAAATTACAAAGTTCCTAGCTATTGTTTTGACATCTAAGACTAAGACGAGAACAGTTTCAGTTTCCTAACAACTCATAGTCACATTAGAACTCATTTGGATAAGTCATTTGGTACCAAATAATTTGTTTGTCAACAAAGAATAAAACAAGTGATTTACAAAATGGAGAAATGAGTACGGGAGGTGGAGATTTAATACTCACTCATCCAAGTGTCCAAGTCAACTGCATGACACATGAGTTTTCATTTTTTTTTGTTAGATTTGTATATTGTTTGTTTTTTTTTTGTTGTTATTTAATTTATTAAAGCTCCGAGGTTAATATCAAGCAAATGTTTTTAGAAAATTACATGTTATTAATCATAAAATACCACCTGCTTTTTTTAGGTAAAAAATATATGTTCGAGATAATAAAAAAATACGTCCAAATTTTTTATAAAGGAATAAGGACTAGCTATGAAAAATACTAAAGTAAAAATCATAGATTAACCAATACATAAGTATGATTAGTTTTGAACCCGTTCGTTGGTCGGATGAATCATTAATGAATAAATAATAACAGTAAATGCTTGAACCAAGTGAATCATTAATAATAGGTGTGGTTGGAGTTGATCTTGTTGGGTTTCGACATGATAGAATAGCATGTGATCAAAAGGTCTTGTGTTTGAATCTCAATGATTTTCAATATTTTTACCAAGACAAGAAGCCACTTTGTATTTAAAAAATAAACTCTAATAAAAAATAATAATTAGCTAGCTAGAGTTGTGAAGTGTGTGGAATTATCTAGAGATTGTATATTTGTATTAATTAGACAGTAAAGAATTTAGAAAAAAAAATTAAGAACCACAAACGGTTACTACAAAAAATCACTTTTAGCGATGGAAATTCTGGAGACAAAGCCGAATTCATCACAAAACCCAATCTTTCAACAGATTTATGATTTTCGTTGACAATGGTATTACTTTTTTCCGGGGAAAAAAAAACTGAAAGAGGAAACATCATTTGAGATGAAATCAAGTTGTATGGTGACGAAATGTTATGTCGCATAATGCAAGAGGGTCACCGCGACGAATATTTTTCGTCGCCAAAGGTTAATTTGTTTAGGCAATAACATGATAGTCGCAGAATTAAATATTTCAAAATTTACAAATTATTATATTTAAAAATAAGTAATTATCGACAAAATTTTGTCATTTTAGATTTTTGGTCACAAACCTTCATACTTCTTTGCAAGTTACAACCCTAGTCACATCTCACCTTGTCAGGACACCATCTCCTTACTCCCTAGGGGTGTTCAAACGGTTTGGTTACCATGGTAACCGTTTTAACCGGTACTATTTGGATAATTTGGTTTGGTTAATTTGGATAATTGGTTTGGTTTGGTTAAAGTTTTTAGCTTGTTTGGTTTAGGTGGTTTGGTTTGGTTTCAGTCTTTCAGACACTCCTAACCAGTCAAACCAAATTAACCAGTTAAATAATTAGTCATATATATAACATATATTATATACACATACTTAATACTTTGCATAACCACTCAAGAGTTAACGTTCATCCCTTTTAGACTCATAAAATATAAAGCTCAATATTGCTCATATAGTGTATATTTGTATATGTAAAATGTAGACCACAACATATGGACGCCTAATTTAGATAAATTTCATACATTATGATGGATGAAAACTTGCTATGATAATTGCTAAGAGACTAAGTCAATTTACACAAACACAACAATTCATTAACCCATACCATTGTCATAAATTTTTGTTAGGTGAATACTTCTATACTAATTGTAAGATAATTGTCTTAGTTGCATGTATTTTTGTTAAGGTTCAACTATAACTACGTGTTGTTTGTTATGTTTTATTCATTATATAAATTGCGAATTGTTGCATTAACCGGAAAATTTTCATTGTCAATGATAATGTGATTTTATATTGGTTAATCTGGTTAACCAATTAACCAAACCGATTAAGCTTTAATTTGGTTGTTGTATTAGTTTGGACGGTTTGGTTATGATATTGTATTATATGGTTAATGGAATTTAGCCTTATTTGGTTTGTTTATAACCATGGTAACCATTTGAACACCCCTATTAAATACTCCCTCCCCAATCCACCTCCTGACTCTATCTGTGGGGCTAAGTAGTTGTAGGGAGGTAGCTAATTGTGGCGAAGTTTAGGCCATAATTTGGTATTGGAGTTTGGCTATAAATAACCTTTGGTTGTGTATATATTCCTCATCCCAAGCAAAGCAAAACAAAGAAGAAGAAAGAAAGGAGAGTGACGGAGCAATAATGAGTTATGTGAGGGGAAGAAATAAAAGAGTTGAGTATTTCGATCCAATTTTATTCCCTACAAGTGGTATCATAGTAGATGTGACTCCGTGTATGCTCTGTGGTTACGATTTAGGTTGATCTTCTATATTAGAAACGAGTTCATGGTGCTTTGTAATTAGTGCATATGTTATTCCTAGTATGCTCTATAATTGTGGCTTCGGCTAATCTGCCACATTATGAAAGGGTTCCTTGTGTTTTGTTATCAGAAATGTTTTTTTTTGTTTTTTTTCCAAGGCAAGCCCAAAGGGCATGGGACAAAGACTCGACACGATTACAAGATCAACTAAAATACTGAGCGTTTAGTCCATATGCAACCAGACTGCCGATGAAAGAGCCTGTAAAGCCACTACTTGGGCAGCTCTGAAGAAGCTCTGAGGAGCAAAGACACGACACTGACGGGAAAAAACAAAATTAAAATAAAAATCCAACATCTCCAAGGTAGTCTCGCCAGCAAGTGTAATTTCCTTCGACGGAGTATACCCGATGACCAGTGTCGAGTTTCCACAAAAAGTTACAACAAAGAAAAGAAAACGACATTAGCAATCTTCCACAGAGCATGATTGATTACTCTCATAAATTTGTAAAAGTGAAAAATCTAACTATCACCTCATAGATCGATGAAACTTATTTCACTTCCTTCAGTTACTTTCACACCATATGAACACATGCAAAAAGACCAACCAGAAATGCACAACTATGGTGCTAGACATGGTTTGACCGAGAGCGAATAGTGATGAGATCCCCATAAGGCAGTCAGAGGCTGCAGGTATTTTAGTAAGACTGAAATATAGAACTTGGAGAAGTTACCAAGTAAAAAGATGGAGAGTTTCTCAGATATGTCTGTGGAGAAGTTGAACGATACCAACTACTCAAGTTGCAACACTCGTATAGTTGTATCTCAGAGGTCAAAGGCTATGGAAAATTATCCCCGCGCCACCCCCAATCAATGAGAAGTTTTTGGAGGAATATAAGCAAAAAGCATACAAGATCGTATACATCTTTGCAGACTGCAGTCACAATAGAGGATCAATTTATACCTCACATCGAAAGTCGATCCCCAAAAGAAGCTTGGGATGCTCTCTTTACAATCTTCTCCAAAACCAATGAGGCGAGACTCCATAGATTGAAGAATTATTTGATGTCACTATCCTATGGAACAGTGACAATTGCTTAATACTTCAACAAAGTAAATAATGTTTATGCTAAAATTTCAAAATTGGATCCTAAAAATCCAATTTCGGAAGCTCGAACAAGAAGAATTATCATATGTGGCTTGATACCGGAGTTTAAGGGCATAATGACAGCAATAAGAGGGTGGTCTAAGGAGCCATCTCTGGCTGAGTTGGAGAATTTTCTAGCAAACGAATAAATTCTAAATGACAAGATATCAAAGGTGTCAACCAATGAAGAGGAGAAGGCGCTGCTCAGCAAAAGTAAAGACTCCAATAGTGGAGAGAAGCCTCTTGCATAGACAAGGGGTCAAAAGGGGATTAAGAAGAACCATAAGTAGAACAAGAAAGGGGGAAACTATCGAGGGGGAGCCTAGGAAAATTACAACCACCGTAACAATGGCGGTAACGGAAAGGACATTAAGGAGAATGATCAAGAAAAAGGTCACTACTTCATTTGCCACTAGAAGGGTCATCTAGCCATAGATTGCTGGCACAAAAAAGAAGAAGGCAACGCTAAAACTTCTTCCAAGGAGAATGATGATGAATGGGATTTTCAAGCTTTTTTTGCAACTAAAGCTCCAAAAGATGCCACTAAAGAATTAACACTTATGTCAGTGGACGAGAATGTCATTGATTATGAAAGTGGCTGGATCGTGGACTTGGGTTCACCAGACAGTCACTGATTAAGAACGCCTTAGTCAAGTAAAGGATATTGTTAATCCTCAATAAGAACTCAGAAGGTCAAAGAGAGATGGAAAGTCAAATCTAAAATTTTGCAACGTAGCCATGATAGAAGATATTGGTGTGAGAGAATCAATGTCTTACGAAGAAGTGACAAAACCTGTTGAATGGAGAAATCCTAAGACAGCACAAATAGAGGCTAACATTAAACTTAACTTATAGGACGAAAACGATCTAGAGGATGTAAGATGTGCAGACAACATGTGGGTAGGTTAATCTATCTAACTTTGACTCGTCCCGACATTTCTTATGCAGTCGGAGTTGTTATATGTTTCATGCAAAATCCAAAGAAGGTTCACCTGGAGATCATCAAAAGATTCTTAAGATACGTCAAGGGAACCTTCAATCACGAGATATTTTACGAGAAGGGAGCAGGCTACAAACTTGAATGTTATTGTGATGCTGATTATGCTGGAGGCCTAGACACTCGTCGCTCGAAAAATATATATGTGTTCACGCTTGGTTCAGGAGCAGTCATGGTGAAGTAAGAGACAACTAACTATTTCGTTTTCAAGTACAAGGGAATAATATAGAGTGGGATCAATGACATCATAAGAGTGCACTTGGGTAGTACAAATTTTGAAGGACCTTCATCAAGAAGCTGATTATCTAGTTCACTTATACTGTGATAACTTATCTGTTATAAAGTTAGCAGAGAATCCTGTGTTTCATGCTAGAACAAAATATTTTGAAGCCCATTATCATTTTCTCTAAGAAAAAGGGTTGAGACCCGGTTGTAGATATTTCACTAAAGGACTTCCAAGGCTAGAGTTTGAAGAGTTTAGAAGCAAACTTGGAATGATCAAGAAGCATAAGAATGTTGGTGATGCTGAAGTACGTGAAAAACTACTCAAGCATGATGTGTTTGTAAAGGTGAGGACACTGCTCGGAATAATGGTGAATTAAACTTTAAGGGGAGTATTGGAAAAATAAAGTTTAATACAAAATAATCATAAGTAGTTAGAGTTGTGAAGTGTGTGGAATTATCTAAAGATTGTATTAATTAGGTAGTTGAGGATTAAGAAGGGGAAAACTTAACAACCACAAATGGTTAGATATTTGTCGGGCTAAGTATTTGTGGCGTGGTAGCTAATTGCTGCAAAGTTTAGGGCACAATTTGGTGTTGGAGTTTGGTTATAAATAACCTGTGGTTGTGTATATATTCCTCATTTCAACCAAAGCAGAAACAAAGAAGAAGAAGAAGAGAGGGCGAGGAAGCAATAGTGAGTTGTGGGAGGAGGAGAAGAAATAACATAATTGAACATTCCGACCCAATTTTTTCTATAGTTTGGCCCTGATGTACCTTTTGCAATAACAGTTTCTAATAAGATTTTTTAGAATACTACTTTACATATAAAGTTGTTTAGTATTTGGCTGATAAAATATTATAAGTACTATTAATATCAGAGGTCACATAAATCATTAAAATTTTTAAATTAAAAATTAGTCAGAATGGATCTTGTTTGATTTTTTATATTTAATAATATTAATTTATAAATTATTTTAGTTCTATAATGATATAAATGAAAGAAAATTAATTTAAAAAATTAAAAGAATAATATTTTATTTCTAAATATTTTTTCAGAGAAGCCATTTTTCAGCTTTTTTAAAAAAGCCAAACTTATAAACGTGTTTGACCCAACTTCACCTTTTGGACCAGAAAATTACTTTTAAAAGCCACACCAAAGATATGTCATTAATTGGACACGAATATTTAGAAGAAAAATGTTTGATCGATATATGAAGTTCTGGATATGGTGCATAACCCTATGATGCATAAATTTGCATAACTACATCTAAGCCATTATTTTAAGTGGACCTAGATCTATTCATACCATATGGTATGCTCTTATTTATTACCAATCAATACCATATAATATAGACTCGTAATAAATGTCTCAATTTTTCTTGTTCCAAAAATATATCAAAATGGATATCATTTTGAAGAACGCAATTAATCTTATTTATCTGTGCAAAAAAAAAAATGAAACTCCAATTTAAAACGAGAGAAAAATCTTCCGTTAAAAATTAAAGGGGAAAATGTTAGAAGTCATCCATAAGTGGCAAGGGCGCTGATGCGGTGGTTGATGATAGAGTTATACATGATTACTCACCCCAAAATTACTCTGATCCGGGGAGCATATCCCATCAGTAACCTAGTGGTTAATAACCATGCATAATCTAAACAGAATTCGCCACATCATCACCATTTTCTCTCTCTCTCCTTGGAAAACTAATAATCTTTTCTCCTTTAATATTTTAATGGACGATTTCTCTCTCGTTTTAAGTAAAAAAAAATTTCCATAGATAAAAAAAATTGATATATCTTTTGGAAAAAAAATTGAGGCATTTTTTACCAGTCTATACCATTTGGTATTAAAATAAGAGCATACCATATGATATGAAAATGTACCATGATTGTATGAACATACAAAGACTGTAGTATGGTTAAATACATGACAGTAGCAGTATATTCACTGTCATTTATGACTTTCAACATTGTGTACCACAAGATACCATCCCTATACCATGATGATATTGTGTGGTATTTTTTGTCCTGTATTTTATTCACCGAGAAATTTATAGATCCAATAGATCATGATGGACTCGTTCTTTCTTTGCAAAAATTTTCAAAAATGACTTTAAAACAAAGAAAATATCATATGGTATGAAGTTGGTAACGAGAGGTATGAAATTTTTCTTTCTAAAAAAATATTGAAAATGAATCTCATTTTGTAGAGCACAATGAACTCTTTCCAGTAAAAAAAATTGAAATCTGATTTAGAACAAAACGATTAGAAATAATTAAAAAAATAAAAAATATTAAATTTCCCACTCTTAGATTTGAATTTTCTGGGCCCACTAAAAAATAAAAGTTCAGATTGAGTTATACAAAAATGCATTACTCTTGGTTATATATCCTAACTTGAGCCCAAATCCGGCCCCGGTCTGAGGCCAAACATGTAAAATATTGGGAAGAGTAGCACAATACACAGCGATTTACGTGGTATCCTTGCTCGTTGTGAGCAAGACTAATCCACGGAAGACCCACACAAGGGGTCTTCGGCTTAGGTTTTATTATTAGGGTTTGAAAACTCTCCTGTACACACTGCCCATGCATTCGGCAGCCTATATATGGAGAAGCACATTATCCCTTTACATCACACTCAACTAGGGATAAGTGCAAAACAGTCCTCACAAATTAATTGATGGGCTACGTATAAATCTCAACACACACGTAGTCCGTAACACGCCCCCTCAAGCGGAGGCATGAATATCAAGAATGCCAAGCTTGGAAGTCAGAAAGGAAAACTGGTCTGCACCGAGACCCTTGGTGAACTTGTCAGCCACTTGATCGTGTGACGAAATCTTCTGCGGAGCTATCTCACCAGAAGTCACGCGCTCACTAACAAAGTGACAATCCATCTCAACGTGCTTGGTGTGTTCATGGAAAACCGGGTTAGCTGCGATGTGCAAAGCTGCCTGGTTATCACAATGCAACGGCGTTGCTGCCGTGGTAGCGACTCCCAATTCATTAAGCAACCAACGAAGCCAAACAAGCTCGCTAACAGTACTAGCCATTTCCCGATACTCCGCTTCAGCTGACGAACGGGCTACAACTGACTGCTTCTTAGTACGCCATGAGATCGGACAGTCTCCCAGTCGTATAAAATACCCAGTGGTGGAGCGACGCGTACTCTGTCAACCGCCCCAATCAGCATCACAATAAGCAGTCAAACTAAGCTTGCCTGTCGTGGGAAAACGAAGGTCGCGCCCAGGCGCCCCCTTAAGGTAACGCAACACTCTATGAGCTGCATCCTCATGCTCCTGTCGTGGGGAATGCACAGCCTGACTGAGGAGGTTAACTGCATAGACAATGTCAGGTCGAGTAACAGTCAAATACTGTAATCGTCCAACGAGACGACGAAAACCTGATGGATCTTTCGCAGCAGGGCCCTCGATTCTGGTGAGGTGATGATTCTGTTCAATCGGAAAAGCACAAGGCTTGACGGCTAATGCACCAGCATCCTTCAGAATGTCAAGGGCATACTTCCTCTGAGACAACACCAGTCCAGTGCGAGAACGAGCAACTTCAATACCCAAGAAATATTTGAGCACTCCCAGATCCTTGATGCTGAACTGTTCATGCAGAAAGTCCTTGACACGCTGAATAGTACCCAGGTCATCACCGCCAAGGATGATATCATCCACATAGATAAGTGCAAAAACATAAGCTCCATTATGTCGATAGGTGAAAAGAGAGTGATCAGCCTTCGACTGTTGAAACCCAAACTGCTGGAGCGAGTGAGTGAACTTCATATACCAGTTACGTGATGCCTGCTTCAATCCATGGAGGGATTTGC